CTAAATTCATGAAATAAATAAATAAATTACTTACCTAAATTATCTGAATAGCTGATTTGTTCACATCATTTGTTTAACTAGCACTAGCATGCAGTACAATATGTATCGTCTGAGAGACAGTTACAAAATGTTTTCGTGGTTGCCAATGCCAAAAAATGCCATTGTTCGTTAAGTCCAAACAGTGGTGGTTGAATTCTAACAACTGATCAACAATGTGAACTTTGATAAGCAGGTCTCGATAATCAGTTCTCAACAATTATTTGTTATTATTAAAGCGTAACATTATAAAATTAACAAAAATAATGTAAAACTCATATCCTGGCAAAATAGCCACATGGCAGCCAAAAACTGTGTATTCCCTTCCTGTTCTCCTGCTATTCCCTAGCTTGTCATGCATTCTTTCCAAAAATCGGGACTTTTTAAAACCGCCATGGGATGCGGAACAAATTGTGAAAAATCAGAACTCTCCCACCAAAAGCGGAACTTCTGGTCACCTTACGTTTCTGGCTCTCTTACAAGTTAGGCGTGGCTGGTGAACTACTAATACTTTTGTCCAACTGTTTGTTTCTGTAAAACTTTTCTGGGATGCAGATATTCCCCTGGATGTGTGCATTAGGTTATGCCATCTTATTTAGTGTAAGAACATGGACCCTTGAAAAGATAGGGGTTTGCACTGCATGAGTTCACTTACACAAAATTGCCCTGAATGTGCCTAACTTTCCTGCCTTTGCCAGCCCTAAGACAGCAAGACCAACCCCTCCTCTTCCTTCACAGCCTACTCAATATGAAGACAGAAAGGATAAAAACCTTTATGGTGATCTACTTCCACTTAATAAATAGTAGCTATGTATTTGTCTTCCTCATGATCTTTTTTATTTTTAATTTTTTATTGTTGGGGATTCATTGAGGGTACAAGAAACCAGGTCACGCTGATTGCATTTGTTTGACAAAGTCCCTATTAAAATTGTGTCTTGCCCCCAAAAGGTGTGTCACACATTCAGACCTTTTTATTATTATTTTTTTGAAGCAGACTGTCACTCTTTTTCCTGGGCTACTATACAGTGGCACAACCCTGGCTCACTGCATCCTTCAATTCTTGGGCTCAAGTGATCATCCTGGCTGAGGCTCCTGAGTAGCAGGACTGCAGGCATGCCTGGCTATTTTTTTTCCTCTTTATTTTGTAGTGTTGGGTCTCCCTATGTTGCCTAGGCTGGTATCAAACTCTTGGCCTCAAGTGATCCTCTCACCTTGACCTCCCAAAGTGCTAGAATTACAGGTGTCAGCCACTG